AGAAAGCCTGTGTATAAATGAGCAGTGAGGTATTCAAGCACAGCACACACACACTACTCAGGCCAGCTGTTGTGAGAGTTCATGCTCATTTCCTTGTGGATATACCAGCAACTCACTCTGCTATGATCCTGCAATACATCTCACGTTAGCATTAGAGACATATGCGCCCGGCGCGATGGCTCACACCTGTAATACCAACACTTTGGGAGGCCGAGGCAGACACATCACCTGAGGTCAGGAGTTCCAGGCCAGACCGGCCAACATGGTGAAACGCCGTCTCTATCAAAAAAATACAAAAATTAGCCAGGTGTGGTGGCACGTGCCTGTAATCCCAGCTACTCAGGAGCCTGAGGCAGGAGAATCCCTTGAACCCGGGAGGTAGAGGTTGCAGTGAGCCGAGATTATGCCACTGCACTCCAGCCTGGGCGACAGAGCAAGGCTCCATCTCAAAAAAAAAAAAGAGAGAATTAGAGACAAATGGATCAAATCAGCTGCCACCATCATCTTCTAGTCCTACAAAGTGTCAGGTAACGTCCTACTAAGATTGCTGCACACACATCATCTATAAAATACTGAAAATATCATTTTAGGAATTTTTTTTTTTTAATTTTGAGATGGAGTTTCACTCTTGTTGCCCAAGCTGGAATGCAACGGCCTGTTCTCGGCTCACTGCAACCTCCGCCTCCTGGGTTCAAGCAATTCTGCTGCCTCAGCCTCCCGAGTAGCTGGGATTACAGGCATGCACCACCATGTCTGTTTAATTTTTTATTTTTAGAAGAGGCAGGGTTTCTCCATGTTGGTCAGGCTGGTCTTGAACTCCCGACTTCAGGTGATCACCCACCTTGGCCTCCCAAAGTGCTGGAATTACAGGTGTGAGCCACCACGCCTGGCCAAGAAATCCTTATTTTAAAAAAAGGCCAGGCTCAGTGGCTCACGCCTATAATTTCAGTACTTTGGGAGGCCAAGGCGGGTGAATCACTTCAGGTCAGTAGTTTGAGAACAGCCTGGGCAACATGATGTAATCCCATCTCTACTAAAAATAATAATTTAAAAAAATTAGCCGGGTGTGGTGGTGGGCACCTGTAATCCCAGCTTCTCAGGAGGCTGAGGCAGGAGAATCTCTTGAATCTGGGAGGTGGAGGTGGCAGTGAGTGGAGATCATGCCACTGCACTCTAGCCTGGGCAACAACGCAAAACTTCATCTCAAAAAAAACAAAAACAAAAACAGACTCCATCTCAAAAAAAATCAAAAACAAAACAAAAAACAAATGTGGTATGGAAATGAAAATAATTACTGTGTTAAAGACAGTTTCATAGAAAATAAAAGACCACTCAAATACAATAAGCTGTCTTTTTAGATGAATATAATTGTTATTCTTACTTTACAGCTAAAGAAACGGGCTCCGAGAATGTTATTTGATTGGACCGTGTTGCATCTCTGGACAGTGCAGCTGAGATCAGACTGTGTGTGTAACTCCACTAGCCTACCAGGGTGCCTCTCACAAAGGTAAAAAATGTAAATTTGGCCTAATATACAAAGTTGCCAGGGCAGCACTGGGTCAATTCTACATACACTACTTCTATGTTCATCAAGGGAAACTTTAAGGGAAGGTGAAAATGCTTCTAGAAGGTAACTGGACACCAGCACCCTTGCTTGTTGCCTTTGGGCTCTTCTTCTAAGACCAATAGTAACCTGAAATTATTGACTGACTGCTCCAATGAAGTGGACAAAAGGGTACCAAGGTTGCCAACATCAGACAAATTCACTTGAGGTCCTATCTATGTGCTTTGAAAGACAAAACTGCTTTTGTGAAGGATACTGTATTTCAGAAAAACATAATATTAACAATAACACTGTAAAATGCTGATGTGTTGAATGCTACTTTAGAAAAACATGTTCAAATCTAGGAAAAAAAACTATGATAGAAAACTACGTATCGATTATCTAGCTAGCTAGCTATCCAGAGACATGGTTTCATTCTGTTGCTCAGGATGGAAAGCAGTTGGGATGATCATAGCTCACTGCAGACTTAAGCTCCTGGCCTCAAGTGATTCTCCTGCCTCCTAAGTAGCTGGGGCCACAAGTGGACACAGTTACACCTGGGTCTTTTGTTTTGTAGCGACAGGGTTTCACTACATTGCCCAGGCTGGTGTCAAACTTTGGAGTCTCGCTGGGTCGCCCAGGATGGGGTACAGTGGTGGGATGTCGGCTCACTGCAACTTCCGCCTCCTGGGTTCAAGCGATTCTCCTGTATCAGCCTCCCGAGTAGCTGGGACTACAGGAATGCTCTACCACACCCGGTTAATTTTTGTATTTTTTGTAGAGACTGGGTTTCACCATGTTGGCCAGGCTGGTCTCGAACTCCTGATCTCAGGTGATCCACCCGCCTTGGCCTCCCAAAGTGCTGGGATTACAGGCCTGAGCCACTTAACACTTTCTTATGCTATTAAATAGCCTAACCCAGGCGAGGCGCGGTGGCTCAAGCCTGTAATCCCGAAAACTCGGATGCCCAAGGTAAGAAGACCACTTGAACCCAGGAGTTTGAAACCGGCCTGGGCAACACAGCGAGACACCCCCCCCGCCCCCGGCTCTACAAAAGATACAAAAGCTAAGCCAGGCGCGCACCACGCTGGGCTAATTTGTGTATCTTTTGTAGAGACGGGGGTTTTGTCATGTTGCCCAGGCCGGTCTCGAACTCCTGCTCCCAAGCCATCCATCCTTCTGCTTCGGCCTCCCAAAGTGCTGGGATTACAGGGCCCAGCCAGCCTCATGTTTTCTTTAAGCAGTGCACACTTGGTTAGTTTTCTTTTTTATTTTTTTAGACAGGGTTTACCTCAGTCTCGCAGGCTGGAATGCTGTGGTGGGATCATAGCTGACTGAAGCCTTGAACCTTGGGGTTCAAGTAGCTGGGGAGCTGAGGTAGCACTACAGAGATGGGGTCGCGCCATGCCGCTCTTGGCCTGAAGGGCTCCTCCCGCTGGCCGCGCCCGGACATAGTTTTCTATTTTTGACTACATAAACACTGTGAATGGGTCGGAGTTTGTCAGCCACCCTTTTCCAGCCAGCAACACACAGGACCTGGCGGGGAGGTCGCGGTTACCAGGCTCCACTCTGAGAAGACTACCTAACTCTAAGCACCGCACCGCCCAGGTGACATCGCCGAACGCCAGCTTGTAACGAAGCCGAAGGACCACCTTCATGACGTCACCGAAGGCCCGCCCCTGTGACGTCAACGGAGGCGCGCCCCTGTGCCGGCGCAGAGGCCCGCCTCTCACGCGGACCCAATCGGAACTCGAGGCGGGGTTGCTGGGTCTTCCAGGAGCGCGCATTCGCGGGCGGGTGGCCACAGGCTGCCAGACTGGCATCAGCTGAACTTGCCGATCATTGTCCGTGGGCTTTTGCCCGGCCGCCTCCGCCCATAAGCTACTAGGAGGAGCTTTACCACTTCCCGGCCTGCTGGAAGTGCCGGGCACGATCGCGAGGTAGCGCAGAAGCTCCTCAATGGCCAGCGCCAGCTGCAGCCCTGGCGGCGCATTGGCCTCACCTGAGGCCACATGCGTCCCACAACACCTTCCCCAGCCAGGGCTCGGGGACCCCGGGAGAGTCCCTCGCCACTTGGCGCCGCTCATCCTGGGCAGGGTCGGCCCCTCTGAGGCTGCCACGTATTAGGGAGCTGCACCCCCGAGCTTGACCTCTGACGGCCGGTTGTAATAGCATTAAGCCTTTGAAACTTCGTAGCGGGGTAGACGGGGCTAGGAAACGAAGAAAACATCTTTTTAAAAATGTAAACGATGGGCCTGCATTATAGGTGTGATCCACCGTGCCCGACGATTTTGCTCATTTTAGATACTAGAACTTTTTAATGTTTTTTTGCTGTTTTGGTTTGGTTTTGTTTGTTTGTTTGTTTTTCCTGAGACAGAGTCTCGCTTTGTCGCCAAGCTGGAGTGCAGTGGTATGATCTCAGCTCACTACAACCTCTGCCTCCTGGGGTCAAGCGATTGTCCTGCCTCAGCCTCTCGAGTACAGGCGCACGCCACCATACCTGGCTAATTTTTGTATTTTTAGTAGATACAGGGTTCTAGCATGTTGGCCAGGCTGGTCTGGAACTCCTGACCTCAAGTGATCCACCTGCCTCTGCCTCCCAAAGTGTTGGGATTACAGGCGTGAGCCATCACGCCTGGCCCCGGTACATGTATTTTCAATGAATGAATGGACACTCAAAAAATGTTAGCTGTTAGTATTTTTGCACAAACAATAGGCCCACAGCAAATATCTTTTCCCAAACAAAAAGGAAGTCCTCACCACAGAGATAATTTCACCACTCCAGAAAAATAGACAAAAGCTTTTAAAAGAGTGTTTTGTGGGCCCCGCATTGTGGCTCATACCTGTAATCCCAGCACTTTGGGAGGCTGAGGCAGGCAGATCACCTGAGGTCGGGAGTTCAAGACCAGCCTGACCAACATGGAGAAACTCCCATCTCTACTAAAAGTACAAAATTAGCCGGACGTGGTGGTACATGCCTGTAACCCCAGCTACTCAGGAGGCTGAGGCAGGAGAATCGCTTAAACCCAGGAGGTGGAGTTTGCGGTGAGCCAAGATCGCGCCATTGCACTCCAGCCTGGGCAACAAGAGTGAAACTCCCGTCTCAGAACTCCCGTCTCAAAGAAAAAAAGTGTTTTGTGGTGGAGCGCAGTGGCTCATGCCTGTAATCCCAATGCTTTGAGAGGCCAATGTGGGAGGATCAGTTGAGGCCAGGAGTTACAAACCAGCCTAGGCAACATAGCAAGAACCCATCTCTACAAAAAATGAAAATAAAAAATTAGCCAGCCATGGTGGCACACACTGTAGCCGTAGCTATTCAGGAGACTGAGGCATAAGGATCTAGCCCAGGAGTTCAAGGCTACATACAGTGAGCTATGATCACGCCACTGCACTCCAGCCTAGGAGACAGAGAAAGATCCTGTTTCTAAAAAAAAAAATAATGAAATCGTGTTTTGCCCTCTGTTCTCTGAAATCCTTCTACTTTCCTGAGCATGTCAGCGTTCCACATGGATGAGCATGAATTCACCTGAAATCACCATCCCACATCTTCTTCAGCTCTGATGATCTTTGCTTCCACTCCCCTTAAGCTGCCACAGGAAAGGCTCTTGTGATCCTTTTGGACAGCTAGATTTCTGAAATCTTAAGCTCCAACATTCTTTCTACTTGCCCTCTGTGGCAGATTATATTTTCCAAGGTAGCTGCAATAAGTTCTCCCATCCCGTGTACTCTTCTTTTTTTTAATTTTTAAATTTTATTTTATTCTTTATTTATTT